CAGCCCTAATCTTGGCCCTTCAGAGTTCTTTTTGTTCCTCAAATTCAAAGAACATCAAAAGGCACACAATTTGAACCTCTGAAGAATGCCAAAGCTGCCACTTGGATGCCGTGTCCCTAGAAGAGCGTGCAGAACTCTTCAGGGGAGGACTGAAGAGATGGAGACCTTCCGATGACTTGTAGACCTCAGTGGAGGCTGTGTGCAGAAACAATCGTTTCCCGTTTTGCTGGTTTTGTTGAGTAAAGGTATTCTGGGACGTTGCAGCTGTGCATCCTCAGATACCCTCACATGTGCCGGATACCCCACATCATGTAAGTGCTGAGAGCAGAGAGAGGAAAGCGACCAACCGACATTCAACATTTCTGCCCTGCAGGAAGCTGAGCCCTTGATCCAAGAGGGTGACTACCCCGAATATTTGTGAGATAAAATGGAGTCCCCACCTCGGAGAGCTGGGAGGATAGGTCGGATATTGGAGAGTTAGGGGGAATAGGGGACTACTGGAGAGCTGCAGGGCTAGGGCAGATAGCAGGGAGCTGGGAGGATTCCTCAGATAGGTGCAAGCAGGGAGGATAGGTCGGATAGCTGGGAACTGAAGGAAACTACTGGGCATCCCATTTTGAAGGTTGACTCAGGTCCTACCCCTACCACCTTATCTGATCCTGATGGAAGAATGCCGAGAACAACCCCCAGTTTCCTCCAAGGTTGCAATACACGTGGAACCCCACGTCCGCTAGCCCGCGTACGACCCGGAAGACGATGTGACGTCATTGTCATTGTATTGAACGCGATGCTTAAGACTTGCTCCTTCTCATCTTATACTTCAGCCCAAACTCCTACCAAACTACCTTCTGATTTGATTTGGGGTTTTTTGGCTGACACCATGGGTCTTCAGTAATGACAGGCATTTTGAATGAAATGAAGACAACTCTTTTCTCTCTGTGTGTGTGTGTGTGTGCAGTTATACAGATTTTGATACAATTCAACAACAATAACTGAAACCCAAGGTATCGATTCCAGTTTATAGTGACCCTGTAAGAACAGAGGACAACTCTATAGGGTTTCTGAGACTGTAAATCTTGAAGTGAACTAGACGACCTCATCTTTTCTGCGGTTGATAGAATTAGTGGGATGGGAACACTGAATAGTTTAAAATTAAGAAAGATGTGCGACAGGGTTGTATTCTTTCAGCATACTTATTCAACCTGTATGCTGAGCAAATAATCCGAGAAGCTGGGTTCTGTGAAGAAAA